TAAAGAATAAATAATATATATATATATATATATATATATATAAGGCAGTGTATACAGCCACAAGCGTGTGTCTTTACCATCCAGCCACACGCTCTCGTAATATTCATATTGCGCGCATACACAAGTAGCTGGGTGGAGGCGGAGTACATTGTACACACATATACACGTACAAGTACAGGACATACATGCACGTACCATGCATACACAAGTAGCTGGGTGGAGGCGGAGTACATTGTACACACATATACACGTACACACATACACGTACAAGTACAGGACATGCATGCACGTACCATGCATATACACCGGCTACGGAATCCGGGAAGAGTCGCGTACGGGACAGAGACACTGCACTGCACTCGTAATTTGGACGTTTGAAACAGATAAATACACAAGTCTTAGATCTACAGCACCTGAACAAGATCGTAAGACATTTACCGGTGAATATTTTCCACATTCTGAGTAAAAAGAGACATTCATGAAAATTTAAATGTACATTTGACACGTCGTTGCTAATAATATTAAATTGGTGTGGTTGTATCCGCTCCACACTGAAGTCGCTATAGACACACTCGTGTGGCTGTACATACACTGCCTATATATAAATATAGCTATATTAATGCTGCCCGTAGAGGATATTCACATAGGCTGTCTTTTATTACACGCATTGAACAACGAACAAGTCCGTTCGCGCGATTAATTAACTTACGTCAGGTTCGTTTTACTTCTAATTATGCACCTTTCGAGTTATCACCGTTACAAACATCGACCACAAAAACACAGACAAGATGGAGGAATGATTCAGATCACGTGTCTACTGAACGCAAGAGAGAAGCCCGTCACACCGTGACGAAACCAGATGTTAATCAGGTAAACGGTATATCCATCAGGGTTATTCAATATATGCGCACTTTATAATTATTTTTCACACTAGATGGCGCCAAAGAGTCATATTTTAACCATAGAGATCTATAAATACTATTTATAGATCTATATGATTTTAACACGCATTTCCTAATGCCATTGGATGGTGGCGCCTCTGGCAGATCATTATATCTTCCCTGAGACCGATTGAAAGTTATCTGGCGTCAGTGAGGTTGTATAGGTGTACATTATATTACATCTGTATGTACTATGCGTGCGTGCGTGAGTGCATGCGTTCGTGTATGGACAGGTGTACGCTCGTGTGTGTGCATGATTGCGTGCGTGCGTGCGTTCGTGCGTGCGTTAGGATGAGCGCAGGGATGTGTGGCGTACGTGCGCGCGTGCACTGAAGAATACAGGTAACTTTATGTACACATACCTGAAAATGCTACCCATGAAATAATCTATGGACAATTCCACGTATGCGCCATAAAATTTCCTAAACATGAACAGGACATTTCCTGTAATTATTATGCAGGAAACATGAAATGTTTTCATGTATTTTTCCAAGAGGGTAATGCTAAATTGCTTTTTGGGCCAAATGACACCAGTTGGTAACTTAATTGATTATGACAGTTTCATCAACATTTTAGCTATGACTAACATAAGGTAAGGAAATTAGTGGATTTTCGTGATATAGGAACCTTATACGCCATTTAAAATATAATGCATAAAATATTTATATCTGGTAAAAGTGAGTTGTTAACAGACAGGGTCATTGTTGTTTAAAGTGGATAAACCTCGCAACAAAAAGCCTACATGCACCTACTGTGAGTATACTGGCAGTATGCAAATATCACGAAATGTTCTCATTGAGCCAGAAATGTGCTCCGAACTAGAGGATTTTGAAACAACGTCCGACAGAGTTATTCGGCGAATAAATACACATAAATTATGTTGAGCGAAGGGGTACGCAAATAGTTCCTGGAAAGAAAACACTATATATTTGTTTGCTGATTGCATAAGTAATGTGGATAACATGTGATTTAAACAAATTTCACAATTCTGTACCGAACAAACATGTAATAATGAATTATAACTTGTTTTATCATTGAAAAGAACTGTTAACGGTCGCTCGGCTGTGTCCCGGATGTATAAACATCACTGTGGCGCTACTTTCATAAGACAACTCGTTTAGATTTTGTGAAGAAATGTTATAAAAGTAGCAATAAAAATGAGGTGTAGTGAATTTTTGCAACATAGACGAGCTCACAGTAGGTATATCTATGCATTTTGCTGCGAGAACATGCCGTTTTAAGGATTTGTCTACAAGGTTAAGATTTTTATGCTGCAGAGAACGAATCGGCTCTATTCTCTACCTTCTATTCTATGTTGCAGTGATTTTGCGGCTGTCTGATGAAACACCCATGGCAGAAATCAACAAGGTCACGCAGCAGGATTTAGCATTTGTGGCCGAGTTTTTGAAGGAGAGTTTTACTGAGGAGCAAAGTGTTCCTCCGCAAGTAAAGACTGAAGTATCCAGTGATCAGGCGAAACCTAGTTTTCACCTGGAGAGAGTTGGCCAGGTTGGTTTCTGACCAACCATCAAGATTCAATAAAAATAATGACTCCAATTACGCAAACACAACTTTAATTCAGACTTTTTATGTTAAGATTTACGTAGGTTCACATACGTGGTACCTGAATGGAATTTCTTCTTGATGTGGAAAATTTAAGATAGAAACTGAAATGTAATATAATAATTCAGGGTGAAAACGGGTGCCAGACCTCTCACATTAGGAATTCAAGAAGATATTTTTTTGTAAATTGGCATTTGACTGCATACTCACGAGTGTCATAATATAGACATAATATAGTAGTCTATAATATGACATTCCTGATACTATCAGGTTAAATACCACTCTGGTGTGTAGACAGCATACTTTACACAAGTGTTGTACATGTGTAAACTCTGTGATGGTTGATGGGTTTGTTTCCACAGTACCTAAAGGATGAGCCACTGCATTTCCCCCCAGACACTTCTACTAACCCCTGGGAACAGGTGCTATCCGAGAATGCCAATCTGCGAGACCACAAATCACACTTTCCTCATGACACAAAGAAGTCGCTGATACAGCAGTACTCCGAGTTGAAGAGAATCCTTGACGATGTTTTTGACCAGCCAGCATTTGTGATAGGTGTTTTTCATTAGTCCTACAATGTTTTGTGTCACATTTAACTGTCAAGACATTTAATGCTTGTGTGGTTATACATTAATTTGGTGTAGCTTATATATATATACAAGCTGGATTTAACATATTGAGGTTTTCTTCTCATGGCTGATTTTTAAATTCGATTATTGTTGATTTTCAGATTAATAGTTGTATTTTAGTGGAGCAGACCAGTAATTGAGCACGGTTTCTTTGTATTAGGTAAAACATTCAGTGTGTCCGCATCAAGACTGCTGTTCCGGAGCACCGATGCCAACTCGAACTTACTCGGTAGAGTCACGCAGCTGAACAGTGCCGGCAGCTCGCTGCTCACCACATTTATGCTCAAACAATCCTCCTGCGCCACCAAAGCGCTGCACATGCTTAAGCAGACGACCGGCGATCCGTCGAGCCTCAGTGTCATGGTCGTACATTTTGGACCAATCAGATCTCAGGATGACTCAGTGACGTCACCCGCGCCGGCGATGGCGAGTGAGCTTCACGTCGTTAAGGACGTGCGCTATTACGACGAGGACACCATGTCCGTGCTGCTGCACCAGGAGACAGCGGATGCTGTTCCAATACTCGCCCAGGTGCCACTCTGCGAACTGAAGTCATGGTCGTCGGTGGGAGGTGCTGCCGATCTGACGCAGTGTTTACAAACGTAAGCAATACCTGCAAAGTGAGCTCATTGATAATTCAAGACCGATGTGCTTATCATGTGTGTGTAGAATGTTCTGGTCTATTTTGAGTATGCAATTTGTGCAGATATATATATTATTCTGTTTTGATGAAAATTAAAGTAATGATAGACCAAAATATCTGGAATGCATTATCGCTAAACGTAATATGAATCAGAATACTTGTACACGTTGGCAGCACTTATGTACCTGTGTATGCACCCACTGCCTCAATGCTCGACTTCAGAGCTTAATTCATTTGAAACCCCATTTTAATGCAACTTACAACAAGTTATACAAGTTCTGGTACATAGCACCTGAAGCTAATTAAGGCATTGATGTGGAATGAAATATTTATCTTCATTTTTAGCTCATCTGACGTAGTCACTGTCAGATGCAGTTTGTAGAATCGCATGATCGTGCGTCCGTGCATCCGTCAACAGTTGGGCACAAATCTTAACCGCTCGACGTACGGTCTCGATATTCGGGACGTCGGTGGGGGGGGGGGGGGGGTTGATCGTGAAAAGGACTCAGGATGACAAATTTGGGGGCCAAAGGTCGAGATGTGTAAACGGAGGGGGAATATTTTCCCCTCAACTTAAGGTATAGGAGGAAATAATACGGAATTGCGGCACAAACCTTAACGGCTCGACCTATGCTCTTAATATTCGGTGTAGTGTGATGGGCAGGAAACCCATCACCAGTGCGAAATTGGAGATCACAGGTCAAAGGGCAGTAGGGGAAAGGTCAGATATCAGACATTTTCTGAGGACATGGCCTAATGGACAGAGTGAAAAACGTTTTTGTTTCAGCGCTGACCTACCATTTTTATCACTTTATTGAAAGGGACATGAAATGTGCTTTCCACTGACGTGCGAATAGTAAGTGTCTGATAACCTTTTGACCCTCAAGAGGGTTAAACATGGATTCCTGAAGTGCCTCAATGAGGTCACAGTGTTGTCATATTAATGGCACATCCATAATCTAGAAACCCAATAAGCCTGGATAGCCGAACGAGTACAGCACAGGCGTCACGGCTCAAAAGTCGTTGGATCCAATCCCATTTGATTTTTTATTATTTACCTGTTTTCTGTATTTTTTATATTTTTTTCCAATTAACGCAAATATTTACATGATTTATTTACAACAATTAATAACAACAAATAGTTTTTACATTTTTTTTTTTTTAGCTCATCTGACATAGTCAGATGCAGCTTGTAGAATCGCATGATCGTCCGTCCGTGCGTCCGTCCGTCCGTGCGTCCGTGCGTCCGTTCGTCAACAGTTGGGCACAAATCTTAACCGCTCGACGTACGGTCACGATATTCGGGACGTGGGGGGGTAATCCGAAAACGAGTTGGGATGTCGAAGCTGTGAGAATGAGGAAGCGAGAGAGAGAGAAATATAGAATGAGAGAGAGAGAGAGAGAGAGAGAGAGATAGAATGAGAGAGTGAGATAAATAGATAGAGAATGAGAGATATGGGGGCGGGCAGAAAGGTGGCTGTGTAGCCAGACGGGTAGACAGTAGTACAGTTTGCATGGCCGTGTGTCCGAGTGTAGATAATCCTGGTAACTAACAATACACATTCAACAATACAGTGTGTATTGTTGAACACCTTCTAACAATACACTGTGTATTGTAGTAGGTACCTATGAGCTTTCAACAATACACTGTGTATTGTTGAACACCTTCTAACAATACACTGTGTATTGTAGTAGGTACCTAACAACAGTGTATTTAAATATTCAATTTCATTTTCAATAAATTCAATCAAATCAATCAAATAATTTCAATAAATTAATTTAAATAAATGTCAATTTCAAGTTTACAAATCAAAAAGTAAACTAATTAAAAAAAAAGAAAAAAAGTGTATTGTTATAAGATGTTCAACAATACACAGTGTATTGTTGAAAGCTCGCTAACAATACACAGTGTATTGTCAAATGCCTAAACATACAACACACTGTGTATTGTTAGTTACCAGGATTATCTGCCGAGTGTGTGTCCATTGCAAATGGTCTTTGATTGCAACTAGTCTGCGATCAGACAGTAGGTCAAGCATGCACTGGTCAGCCATTCGATTGCGTTGGTCCCATCGCAATGCCAATGCATAGTGAAATGCAATAGCTGACGTGCCGAAAAGACACCGTTATTGATAGACAACAAAGAACAACATCAGAATTCCAGATTTCGAATTCATAGCATATATATAATCATTCTAAAACTAAGTCATAATTTCTAGTAATTGTCGCGAATTTTCTTACCCGCCCTTAATCGCAAATAATTTACTAGAGTTTTAGCGAAGATGAACTTTGCGGGACCTTGCGTGTCCGTAGCAATAAAGCCAAAGAATATTTCACCATTTCAGTGTCATGAGATTTCTATATACAACATTATATTCTCGCATTCTATGGCGCAGCTCATTATGTGTTATAACTAGCCGAACGATTTATTGTGACATGCATGTAGTAAACAAACATATCTAAGCCGTCTCTGCGAACTTTAGAATGAAAACTCGACAGAGTTCTTTACGTAGAGTGAGCAATAGGTTGCTGCAGGTTTCTAAAATGATGTGTACGCAACTGCGTATCTGCATATCTGCGCCTAACAAAGGTGTCACTACGCACAACTTAAATGTTACGTTTATAACCGTAGCAACAGACCTCAGATGAGCCCAGACGCTCTGCGGCTCTTGTTTAATAGGGTTAGGTTTGGGGTCACAATGCACCATAAAACAGGGGTTTCAGGCACGCGATTTGTATCAACCAATGGGACTTGGGAGGAATGCAGAAGGTTGCTGAAATGATGTGTACGCAACTGCGTATCTGCATATCTGCGCTTAACAAAGGTGTCACTACGCATGACTTAAATGTTATGTTTATAACCGTAGTAACAGACCTCAGATGAGCCCAGACGCTCTGCGGCTCTTGTTGTGCTTTCACATTGCCTCTGCTCCAGGTTAGTACCAGTAGATGGATCTCACTTGCTAAACCCTACCAACTGCAGATGCCTGGAGAACATGAAGGCAGCAGCCCTGGCAGTCAGTGGAACACGCAAAGTGGCATGTGTGGTAAGCAGGCATTGATTTAATGAGGTCAACATCCGTCTTCCACACCTACGTTCTAGAATTGATTACGTGCAGACCCCACCTTTTTAGCCTGGCGATAGTCATACATATTTCATGTTCTTGCATTTGTAAATCATAGATACAGCTCTATATAGTCAGCAGGGCAAATGTAGTGTAGACGACGTATACAGTACAGCTAGTATACTTGCTTTAGTAATGCATATTAGTTTCATTAATTTAATAGTAGAATAAGTGAATGTAAACAACTGTACCACATATTCATCAAGGTATGTGTAAACTCTGTAATAGCTCAGTATGATATTGCAATTTCAACTGTGAACTGCCATAAAAACAGGTTCCGCACCATGAAAGATGTCAACAAACTAAAAGAATAACAAATATTCATATGCTATACATTAATACATGATTCATAAAACAGTATTATACAATGTGCTTGTATTTTCTGTTATTTTGTATAGCACATTTTTAGGCAATCACTGTTACTGCTGGTGATTTCAAATGAGGGCGTCCGACCGTAAAACGGGATTTAAAACTGCAGACCTGCATTTCTGTTGACCCCTACAAGGATGTCTAAAATCTACCAGCTACCATCTAGCACTGTTGTGATAATGTACATTGAAAACTGACGATCGTGCACCTCTCTCTTTGTAGCTGTTCATGTCACGCAAGAGAGTTCGTCTATTTGAGATGGATGTGGAAGATGAGGAGGAGGACGAGGAGGAGGAGGAGAGTTTAGACATGGCCGACGAGTCAAAGATCGATATCTCTGGAACAAAATCTCCAAGTGATGATGACAAGGAGAATGTCAGCTGAAGAAATATCATCGGTTTGTAGGAAGGTACAGGTGCCATATTAATAACACCACATGACTACACGTGCTGACTGAATGTCGGAAGGAGTCTATGTAATTACACGAGTATAGCAGCATGTGCAGTAAAATGTTGTATATAGCACTGTTTTGTACTGTATCACTCAGAAATATTATTATTTTAACTGTTCAACACTATTGCATTTATCAGATTCTTTCTCCATAAAAAAGACTCTTCAGTACATGTACTTGTATTTGAATTACATGCAATAAAGATAAAATAATAATTATATATATATAAAGAGATTATAATAGAGAAGAGTATGACACCGTTTTAACAGCGTTTTGCATAGTTTTCAACTTGTAAATTGTATTACAATGCACTTTGTATAGAACTTTATATTTAATGTACTGAATTTATCCTACTAAATAAATTAATATCGGTTAGGTATATAATATTAATAATAATTATATATATATCAAGAGATTATAATAGAGAAGAGTATGACACCGTTTTAACAGCGTTTTGCATAGTTTTCAACTTGTAAATATTCTATCAATATGTGAATAAATATATTCAAACTTTACCTTGTTTTTTATATATATATATAAGGCAGTGTATACAGCCACACGCGTGTGTCTTTAGTTTACTATCCAGCCACATGCTCTCGTAATATTCATATTGCGCGCATACACAAGTAGCTGGGTGGAGGCGGAGTACTTTGTACGCACATAATACGTACACACGTACAAGTACAGGAAATGCATGCACGTACCATGCATATCAGGAGTAGATAATAGGGATATCCCTATTATCTACTCCTGATGCATATACATCGGCTACAGAATCCGCCGATCCGGGAAGAGTGGGAAGGTACGGCTGCCGCGTACGGGACAGAGACACTTCACTCGTAATTCGGACGTTTGAAACAGATAAATACATAAGCCTTAGATCTACATACAGCACCTGAACAAGATCGTAAGACATTTACTAGTGAATATTTTCCACATTCTGAGTAAAAAGAGACATTAATGAAAATATAAATGTACATTTGACACGTTGCTAATAATATTAAATTGGTGTGGTCGTATCCGCTCCACACTGGAGTCGCTATAGACACACGCGTGTGGCTGTATACACTGCCTATATATATAAATATAGCTAGCTCTCTATATTTATATAGCTCTATATGCCCGTAGAGTATGTAACACACTCAAATGAAAGGAAAACATGAGAAGTTATACAAACGACATTTAATGTTTTTATATATTTTGGTATAGTACGATTGGTTCTACCCATTCGCGTTGCCACATGGTGCCCTGTCTTACACTTCACTTGCATCGCTGAACAAATTTCTTAATGCCATGTTCAAACTATAGGTGACACGATTTACAGTAGTGTCTTCCAGAATCTGGCATAAATTACATCGACAGCTATCACTTTCCAAGATATTATTGGCATTCAGGTACATATATACATGCCTTGACATTTTCGTTGACAATTTGCCCAGCCCCATAACTCGGTATGCCATTATCGCACCACCTGGTGGAAGTATGTGTTATATGTTATCACATCATGATACGTGATCTATGGCTATTAATCACCTGAACCTACAAACAACTTTCATAATAACGGAGTAGTCGAAATTATACATTTAACGCAAAATGACCACGCGTCCTACAGAAATTCACACCAAAAGTCACCATGTGCATTAAAGAAACGGTAATGTGCGCGCTAAACCGACCAGGCTCTCCGACTGTTACACGTCGTAGGATTGTAGTAACGTAGTGTTAAGCGAGAAGGGAACTTGTGGCTATGTGCGCGCATATTCTGTGCATAAGTTGCTAGAGATACACAAAATAAAATTACAATTAACGACAAGAGCACCCTTACACATTACGACGTTCACTAAACAAAGGCAAAACTGCTGTAATATTAATGTGCTACATATTTGCTAAGAGTGTACGGTTCATTTAACACATTGTGCTAAATTGTGTTACTATCACTATAGTCACAAATCGGATATGATTATATTTTATATAATCGCACATGTGCCGACACATTAATACAAGTTTAGCTCGGCCTACGAAATAACATTGCTTGTAAACAATAATCCAGGATGGGTTAGTATTATAGTAATATAAATATGATGGGAAATTAAAGGGATAAAAAGTAGTGTAAATGTGAACTTTGAATAGTCACGGAGATACCATGAGTAAAAACACACAAATCTTCTATGGCTAATTAGACAACCGTTATATATGTAAATCAGAAGTAGATAATAGAGAATCTTCCCTATTATCTATTTCTGATGTAAATGAAACTGAAGAATTTCAATTAGGGTGCTCAACTGTCGAATGTAAACAAGAAACGTGGTTTTAGATGTAATATATCATTAGTTGTGATATATTCTTTGCATAATGCATTGAGTGCTTCTGGCGTCTCAGAACAATTGGTATAACGTATCATTATGTAAAAATACAATATAACTAGAAAAAGTAACAATACTGTTTTAGTATTTAGTTTACCGTACGTGCAGTATTTTCGTATTTTGTTGTACTAGTTGAAGCTATTTTGCATTCACACACCTCCACATAATGGCTCTCAACATTAACTTCCTGTGTCCTCAGGCAGCTGTGAAATGACCACACAATATACAATTAATCATTAAAAAAATACTACGGAAGATATTTTTGCTTTTGAATGCAGGAATCACTATATGGTATATATATATGTATATATTTAGTAGTGGTACTTACTGTAAAACGTGGATATACCATTAGCAGGAACATGTCTATCCTTACACATACCTATAGTATAGGTATGTTCATGCTATTATACAACTACACAGGTTTGTAATGAATTATAATAATACACCCGTTTTTAAATAGATAGCTATACTAACCAAAGCTGGACCTTACGTGTATCAGGTGATATGTCTATTAGTACAACATGCACACGTTAACAATCTCACACAATACACAGCACGAGGGCAGTGCACACAGCACAAAGGCGGGCTACAATAAGGTTAACAATGACATTTCTATCGCTTAAATACCGATGCACGCAGGCAATTATTGGTTGTATAACCGATCGCTTATGTCGAGAAGGTTTTCTAGCAGTGACCAACAATTTACCTATCGCTAACACTAATGGTGAATATATGGTCTAAAATTGTGCTTCCTCAATCCAATGGCTGCTGGTGCAATGATAACAACGAATATACCGACATGTCCCACATCGACCAGAAGCCGTTAACACCTGCATAAATACCCTTCTCGTTCTGTGCAATGTGATGTAGACATATCTTCGCTTCTGTGTGGACAAGTGGCAGAGATTCAACTAGACTTTCAGCAGGGATGTCTACTAACAGGGCAGGAACAGTTTCATAAACAATCTATCAGTTGTTTTCAATATAGGCAGTACTGACTACCTGCCGCGAGTGATAAAAAAGCAAAACACGTCAACTGTATAGTATTATCGGCCATTCTATGCCTATTTTCTTTCATTTTCTCCGACTGAGGCAATGACACTTATTATTTTTGATATTCCTTGTTTTTTTTTAAATACTTCTGTTGCCTATAGTATATCGATCAGTATTATAGTACATTGACATTTTTTAAATATACAAGGGACAGTTCTTTGAAAAAAAACAGGACTACCAATAACATTTTAATGGCACATCCAAACAATTAAAATTCATATTTATAAATTAATAGAAACTTTGAGAGGAAATGTGTATCGCAGTAAAATACATAAAACAAACAAGATTAACACAGATCTGAGAGAAACAGCTGACACATCTTTTACCAGCTTATAGTACGAAAGTGAAATAATGTAAAATGTAAGACACAAATTCCCATTTTGTTCGAACGGTATATACTGTTATTACTAACAGTAAGTGTTCATTATGTATTTTCACCTATATCTTACTTTATAAGATAACCTGATCTCTAAACCCTAACCCACTCACACAGCTGGCAGAAACAGGTTCACTGCACAGGGTTCAGAGCTGATCGTGACTAAAAAAAACAACAATCAAAGAGCAAAGTTACCCCCCATAAATCCACCTGAGGGTAACTATAACACTGACTTGCCACTGCCATCTTTATTACCGACGTGACTTTTAAAATGAATGTTAAAGCACCAAACTTCACTTGTGGTATTCATACACTGCATGCACCTGCAACTAGTAATAGCACTGCCACGCAACATTGAGTGTCAAGCGCTATTATAGATGATTTTAACACACACCCACTTCATATTTCATGAAACTACCTACTTCTCACAAATAATCCACAGGTAATGAAGACAGGTTTGGTGTGATTGTTTCTTCTCTGCAAGAATTATATTAACAGTGCTTTAAACAATAATACTGCTGCCAAAATGATATACCCACAGTGCATTAATACAAATTGTGAATTTCTCCGTTGTGAAAAATTGCCAAACAAACCAAGTAGTTGTGTGGAAAAACGTTCCTCATGGCTGAGTGATTGTGTGTCTGTGGGGTGCACAAAGACGCATGTGCATGACGCAGAGGGCTTTAGAATGCCTCAACGAGCTTTGCCATCACCAATGAGAAGTTGACGCCACTGAATATTCCAAAGACGAGGAAGAAGGCTGCCATCATTCCTGCGATGCCAGCATTATGAGGCTCTACCAGGCTAAAACAAGCAAGCCAAGGTTATTATCAGTCAGTGAAGCCAAGCCAATGTTAAACTGTGGCTTCCTTTGGTCTGGGCTATTAATCAGTATTTATAAAATATAATTACATTGCTAGTAGCATTGATTTAGCATTTATAAAACAACATTGACAGTAACATCAACATATCAATGCTTGATTAGCACGGACAGAAACATCTGACCACCCACTTCTAACGAGTATATGCGTACATCTAGAATTCAGCTTACCCTGGCGTGTACATCATAATGAGACTACTTAAGTAGCCACTAGTGAGTGCCATGAAGATGCCAATGGCACAATAAGCATAGTCATTGGCAATGAAGACAGGAAGGGTGCGGACATCCGGTTTGTAGTTGCAAAACAAGATCATCGGGATGAGAAGACCTCGGAGAAGAGTAAAGATCCACAGATAGCGGGGACCCGGCTGTAAAGCAACACCAATGTTATTATCACCTAGCCTTAGCCATTACACACGTTGGGTGCTCACATCGAATAATCCTGTTCTGACAAAAGAATGCTCTTAAAATGGAGTTCCTATCCAGCAAGAATCGAGTCATATAATATTGAGTTCTTTACCTGCAATTCTTTTTTAAATCGTGCCTCTCAACTAGCATGTAACCTAATCATTTTAGAGTTAAAAAAAATATGTAGCAGCTATTATTTCTAATGCACTTTACCTAGACACTTACAAATTTGATGATTCCTGCAAGGAAGTTCCCAATCATCGCAAACGCATTAAAGAACAGGAAGCAAGTCACGGCTGTGAAGTATGTATCTGTAACGAAAATGACACAATTATCACAATACCAATTATGAACTATGCTGATAACGACCTTAAGACAACACTGTGTTGGTTTCGCAACAATCACAGTAATGTTCTCCCCACCTATCACCACTTAACACAAATACAGCAGTTATATTATAATCACAACTATGCTGTGTATGTGAACTATATATCGACAACTCAATGTTTTTATCATTATAACGAGGTGAATACATACATACACACACTCCATCACTGCTACTGCCCTGATTACATCATTTCTTTCCTAAATGGGCCTAGCAATGTATAGCGAGTAGTCAACCGATCTTACCATTGATTGAATAATTTCATCGGCTCTCTATATAGCTCACATGTATAACAAGAGCCGCAGAGCGACTGGGCTCATCTGAGGTCTGTTGCTACGGTTATAAACTCAAAATTTCAGTCGTGCGTAGTGACACCTTTGTTAGGCGCAGATATGCAGATACGCAGTTGCGTACACATCATTTCAGCAAACGTTTTTTTTATTGCAGAGAAAGAGAGCGAGAGAGAGGAAGAGAGAGAGGGGGGGCGAGAGAGAAAGAGAGAGAGAGAGAGAGAGAGAGGGAGAGAGTCAGTCAGACTAAATTGTTTATAAACAAATAACACCCACGCGGCGTGCTACTGTATCAGTTACGTCATCGATTGAAATGTACATTCTGATTTCGCCGCACGGCGTCCAAACCTTCGACGAAGACGGCGGGCAGATGTAAGGCAGACGCACGTATAACGTACAGATTTCTTCAATGTCGGGGAGGATCAACACATTTCGACTGACAGTCAACCATCGGGCTCTGCAGCGTCCACAAGCCAGCATGCTCCACCATATCCCGACATTGCACACTACTGTAACGTCGACGGAGAGAGCCATGCCAAGGACAGTACAAAACTGGCAAATTTTCATTGGTAGGTTTGACGATTTATTTCTGCAATTACTTATCTCAAGATTAGTTAAACTGAAGTTAAGAAAGTAATTCTTTCTGCACTTTTGAGCGCAATATACATTTGACTTATCCTGCCGGGACATTCTTCTCACTCTGTTCCGATAGATGGCGTGCATACTGACTAGGTGCAAGGAATAGATAATCCGAACTAGTTGCTACCTTCGTTTAGCCCATGCTGTGATACTATCAGCCACCCACCTGCGAGGTAGGCCTATTTATTGTTGGCCTTAATCAAAAACAGACGTTTGCGTAAGTGCTATTGACATTGTATTCCCAACGTACAGAATCTCATATAGAGAATGAAGTTCATATATGATTTAAGGCGCGTAAACGTTGTTCAAGTAAGTTTTGCATGCAGAATTTCACTGTGAAATTCAAGTCTTCCACGATCACACAAGTATCATCAAACACAGTTCAGTCCTTTGTTAACAGTCAACAAATCCATGTTTAACCCTCCTCTTGAGAGTCAAAACGTTATCAGACACTTACTCTTTGCACGTCAGTGGAAAGCACATTTCATGGTCCTTTCAATAAAGTGATAAAAATGGTAGGTCAGCGCTGAAACAAAAACGTTTTTCACTCTGTCCATTAGGCCATGTCCTCAGAAAATGTCTGATATCTGACCTTTCCCCACTGCCCTTTGACCTGTGACCTCCAATTTCGCACTGGTGATGGGTTTCCTGCCCATCACACTATACACCGAATATTAAGAGCATATGTCAAGCCGTTAAGGTTTGTGCCGCAATTCCGTATTTCCTCCTATACCTTAAGTTAAGGGGGAAATATTCCCCCTCCGTTGACACATCTTAACCTTTGACCCTTGACCCCTAAATTGGTCATCCCGAGACCTTTTCACGACCCCCCCCCCACCACCACATCCCAAATATCGTGACCGTACGTCGAGCGGTTAAGATTTGTGCCCAACTGTTGACGGACACACGGACACACGAACGGACGCTCATGCGATTCTACAAGCTGCATCTGACTTCGTCAGATGAGCTAAAAATAAAGTTTATCTCAGTTAGATGCATAATAAGTTGTAATTACTTACAACAACAAAATTTTCGTCCATCTCTCCGATAGACTTCCTCAGGTCTGGTGTTTCCAGGTAGATGGCAGCACTGGAAACATCAGTCCTGAGGAAGTCTATCGGAGAGATGGACGAAAGTTTCGTCGTTGTAAGTAATTATAACTTATTATGGATCTAACTGAGATCAACTTTATTTTTATGTGATCTTACCATTGATGATGAAGTTCTGGTCAAGCTTCACGACCTTAACTTGCATCGCAGGGAAGATGGTTAGTGTTACCGTGAAGATAAACCAGATGTTGAAGCACTGGACCCACACCTGAAGCACACAGTACCTCTGTCAGCAACGAACTGCAATCACACTGGGATTGCTCAATTATGCTGCTCTCACAACACAGAACAGACATAAACTACATATGGAAATTAGAACTTTCACTTTTACTATAATGCGCTCCTACCTTCTTAAATATCGAGCCGTACGGAGGAAATTGGCAGCACTTGGTTGTCGTCGATGGCCCTCTTTGTTGGAGAGCTCTTCTTTCGTGATAGCGGAAGAAACGCTATGTGTAACAAAAACCAGCAGTTACAGCCCGATTGACATTGCAGATCCCCTAACGTGTACGCGCCCGGAATCTGCCGACGTGCTTGAAAATGAATGAAATAAGTTCATTGGATTTCGTTGAAAACTATGAAAACTTTTGAAAATGTTGTATGGTACTCACCAGTATAGGCAGAGCAAAGTAGGTGTCGAAGCACATCAACAGGACAAGCAGTGCCGCGATGAAATACCAGATAGCCGACGACTGTGGATCTGGAGCTAGTGTGATGGCTATGATGTTGATCACTGACGTAATGGTCCCACTGAGGTTCTGCAGAAATCGAACAATTACCAGGTTAGTAACGTTCGTCGCTCACGTAGTAAAGTCATCAACGTCAGCAGCAGTAGCAGTAGCAGCAGCAGCAGCAGCAGCAGCAGTCAGCAGCAGTCAGCACGTCAGCAGCAGCAGCAGCAACAGCAACAGCAACGTTAGCAGCAGCAGCAGCAGCAGCAACGTCAGCAGCAGCAGCACATCAGCAGCAGCAGCAGCAGTAGCAGTAGCAACGTCAGCAGCAGCAGCAGCAGCAGCAGCAACAGCATCAGCAGCAGCAGCAGCAGCAACAGCATCAGCAGCAGCAGCAGCAGCAGCAACGTCAGCATCGTCGTTTAACTGATGAGCGGCCATTATACGTTAGAGCTGCTTATGTGTACTTACATTTCCAAGTACAACAGCCCCAGTGTACTTCATTGGCAAAGGTCCTGCCATACCAAATACACTATTTTGGTATATTCCTGTAGCCACTGAAAGTGTGCAAATGTTGGTATTTTCAAAATCAACTTCCCACAACATTTAGTAGCCAACACACTTGTAGTCCGGGAGCCATGGGGTCATACCCTGCACTGAGAGTTAAAGTTTTTTTCTTTGCTGATTCTTGTAGACTAGGTGTTGGTCTTCACTTTCCAGGTGGATGACCACCCGTCACCCTTGAGCAATTTTCGATATTAACCCTTTTGTGTTGAGAGCGTCAACTCAAAAATTGGCGAAAAATTAGGGGTGGGGAAAACAAAAAGTCTACTAGATCTGTTGTTTTTAAATCTAATGGATCATGTGACCACTCAAAATGTTGGTATTTAAGAGCTCTTTCTAATGATAGGTGAATAATAAGGTCACTAGAGGTCAAAAGGTCACAAATGTTTGACCTACCTCGAAATCTTAAATATTGCTTTTAGCACTCCTGCCTTGGCCAAGAACAGGCTATAATGGTGCTTTTTACCCCTAAATTTGTTCAAGGAGATGCCCTGCTATCATTTTAAACTGCCCATGTTCAAATATATTGAATGTTGACCAACCTATTACAAAAGAAAGACAAGTGATGTGCTAAAATAGCTGTTTTTATTACCCAAAAGTTGATAACGCTTACAGTAATCAGATCTGTCGATCTAAAGCAACCATTGCTCCACCACATATTGCAATGGGGAAAGTCAAGAAGCTTAGTCCTAGATTTTGACATATTTTGCCAAACTTGCAGGGTCAAAGGTCATACAAGTACACAGTTAACTGCAGTCAGTTGTTTCGATGAACTGACTGGCATCATTTTAAATAACCAGCCCATAGGTAGCTCCATTATATTTCGTTTTTTTTAAAATGAATTTTCATAAACTAGGCATGCTCTATGTCAAATGTTGGCACTCGTCTACTATTGTCTCAGGCGAAATAAAGAATATGGTAGTCCCATTTTTGGTAAGAAGTCTTTCAGTTCCAGCTCTAACCATCAGCCCTCTCTAGAACAACCAATGCTGTAGCAAGCACAAAACATTGTGCATGGTAAGTGACCAACATCTTTGCATGAACACTTTCTTGAGCATGGACGATCACCAGAACAACCACATTTCATCAAGCGAAGGATATATTCTGGGGCACAAAAGGCATTTCCTGGAAGCGTGACAGGTGTGAGTGTCTTTGTGTCCTTTTCCTTCATCCATCCAAATTCCTCTGGGTCCAACAGAGGGGGATTGTTTTCCTGAAGTGATCGCCAAAGAATGGCTTGGTAGTGTGCACGTTTTACATTTTTTAAGAATGCTTCAGTCGTAGGTGGCAGTGAACATAGTTTGGGAGACGAGGTGACGCCCTTGCCATTTTTAGCAGCCCAAAGCTGAATGCGAACCTGTGACATGTCCACAGCATTTTTCTTACAATAGCAAGCTGATACGAATGTTGTGGCTTGGTTGTAGACATCAGCAAATTCAGCAGTTACGTCACCAACTGCAGACAAGGTGTGGCCAGCCCTAAGGACTCTGATTACAGTTTCTTTACCAATTCCGAAGTATGTGGCAACCGTGTCGCAACCTGAAAGGGCGTGAGCTTGAAGGAGATTTTGAGCGATCATCTGGTGTTTTTTTGCTGTCTCACCAATGTCAATCACCGTCCTACCTTTCACTGGTGATTCCATGATGACTGGGAGTTTGAGGTCACTTCGATCATAATAATAGACTAGTAGNTGGTTGTAGACATCAGCAAGTTCAGCAGTTACGTCACCAACTGCAGACAAGGTGTGGCCAGCCCTAAGGACTCTGATTACAGTTTCTTTACCAATTCCGAAGTATGTGGCAACCGTGTCGCAACCTGAAAGGGCGTGAGCTTGAAGGAGATTTTGAGCGATTATCTGGTGTTTTTTTGCTGTCTCACCAATGTCAATCACCGTCCTACCTTTCACTGGTGATTCCATGATGACTGGGACTTTGAGGTCACTTCGATCATAATAGTAGACTAGTAGGACAAACACATCTGTGTCATCAGACATCACTGTAATGGATTTCCCTTCTCTACTGCACCGCAATACCTGTTGGACAATAATATTGTCCGCTTCCTCATGGGTCGTTGTGAGGTCATGACGTCTTCTGATCCCATCATTTTGAATTTCAAGTGGAGTGTTGCTTTCTGCTGTGATAACTAGCTTGTGTATGCCGGTGCTGTTTGTGTGGAAGATCCTGTCCTGAGACAGTTCATCATAGATGATCTGGATGATCTGTTTCTTGTTTTCAGTGACAGTCAGTCCAACTTTCTGGGCTGGCAGGGTTGTCTTCAGCTTGAGATGGAAGACTCTACTGGCGCCGGCCTCTCTTCCTCCCCTGGCCACAGATTTCGTGCTAAAATCTCTGTAATGGTCGAATACTAGGTACACCTCATAATCCTTCAAGAGTCTTTGAATACGTTCCTTCACATTTGAAACATAATCCTCAACTGTACCAGCCTCGGGCCAGTGGATCACCCAAAGCAAAGCAGAACCGTCTATCACCATCACATCAGTCATGCCTGTTTTTCTACTCGATACTTCTACTTGGAGACTCTTCTTTAGCTGTGACTTGTTTGTGGCAATCCTCATCCCATCAGTGGTAAACATCGATGTTGGCACTGGTGCAAGTTCATGGGAGAGAACATGCTTGATATCAATATCCCGCGAACTGGATAGCAGACCAATGACCCGTGCATAAATGGCATATCCGTAATCTTGTTGTCCCCAATGGATACTCCCTGCTTCCTCACAGTCATTGTAATAACCTTCTTGGGAATGGTTCCATAAAACCCGTCTGGCCATTTTGTTTCAAATTCCTCCATCTGTTTCTTTCCAATATGAACGGAGTTCTGGACATTGACCTCAGCTTTGCCAATTTGCCCAGTTAATTTACGATATTCACTATCCCTTCTGGGTGGTTTGCAGGGTCCATGGGGTCAATGCACATCTCTAGCTTTCTGCGGATAACGATGTTTTGTGCTTGCTACAGCATTGACTGTTCTAGAGAGGGCTGATGGTTAGAGTTGGAACTGAAACACTTCTTACCAAAAATGGGACTACCATATTCTTTATTTCGCCTGAGACAATAGCAGACGAGTGCCAACATTTGACATAGAGCATGCCTAGTTTATGAAAAGATCAAGTATTAATGAGAATTTTTTTTTTTTTAAACGAAATATAATGGAGCTACCTATGGGCTGGTTATTTAAAATGATGCCAGTCAGTTCATCGAAACAACTGACTGCAGTTAACTGTGTACTTGTATGACCTTTGACCCTGTAAGTTTGGCAAAATATGCCACAATCTAGGACTAAGCCTCTTGACTTTCCCCATTGCAATATGTGGTGGAGCAATGGTTGCTAGATCGACAGATCTGATTACTGTAAGCTTTATCAACTTTTGGGTAATAAAAACAGCTATTTTAGCACATCACTTGTCTTTCTTTTGTAATAGGTT